ATAAGTTTTGGGGTTAAGAAATCATTGGTGAATTGAAATGGTCTTAACAGGTCTTTGAGAAGCTTGGACCAAGCTTATACGATTTCCTTCGCAAAAACAATTACCGCACCTTTCCCATTGATCATGTCCGTGAGATTGGAAGACAACTGTTGGAATGTGTAGCATGTGTGTACTAAAATATATCTTCCCTTAGTTATACTGATTTTGTTGTTATCTTCCTGGCATCTAGTACAATAGGCACATCTTTGATTTCCCTTTCCCTAGATTATATATTTGTTATCTTCTCAGGGAAGACATCATAAGAAATCATTAACTGTCATGTCTGGGTTTTGTTTGGTTCATGACATTGAGCTTTTTGGAAAATGTTGCAGTTATGCATGACCTTCATCTTATACACACTGATTTGAAGCCTGAGAATGTGCTATTAGTCTCACCTGACTATGTTAAGGTCCCTGATTACAAGGTCTGGTTTTCGGCTACCTTTTGTGTTGCATTGGTTAACCTTTTGTGTTTCTGTTGTTATTGTGTATTGCATTTGATGTGATGTTTGGTTCATGTTATCTCTGCTGTCCTTGCACCTACTTGGTTCTTAATAATCTTTGACTTAAAATGCAGGGTTCTTCTCGATCACCCAAGGATAGCTCATATTACAAGAGAGTGCCCAAGTCAAGTGCTATTAAAGTCATTGATTTTGGTAGCACAACATATGAACGTGCAGATCAGAATTATATAGTGTCAACTCGACATTATAGGGCTCCTGAAGTTATTCTTGGTACAATTCTTGTTAAAATTGTACTGAATGATTGCCCCAATCTAGTCTGATTTTTCTTTCCTCTCCTTGTGTGTTACTGAGATACTATCTTAAATATGTAGGCCTTGGTTGGAGCTACCCGTGTGATGTTTGGAGTGTTGGTTGTATCCTCGTGGAACTCTGTTCTGTAAGTCTGCCTTCTTGATGTTAATTATGGATGCCCTTTTATACGTGATTGTAAATATCTTGACCTTGTATTCCTTATTTTAATTGTAGGGAGAAGCCTTGTTCCAGACACATGAAAACTTGGAACATCTTGCAATGATGGAGAGGGTGCTTGGTCCATTGCCACAGCATATGCTTAAGAGATTAGAGTAAGTACTAATCATTTCAGGGAACAAATATAGTAGTGGTTTTGATGTGGTTACCAAGGTTTGTGTTCTACTTGGATATATTTAACGTTGCATATTATATTGGCAGTCGGCATGCTGAGAAGTATGTTAGAAGAGGTAGATTGGACTGGCCAGAAGGTGCAGCTTCTCGGGAGAGTGTTAGAGCAGTTTCAAAGCTGCTGCGACTCCAGGTATTAACATGTCGGTCATGGCATGATGGCACTAATACTATGTTGTTTACCTTTTCATCTCTTGTGATGTGTTGATCATATCATTAATTTTTGTTTTTGTTTCTGTTTCAGAACCTTGTAATGCAACATGTGGATCATTCTGGTGGTGATTTCATACATCTTCTACAAGGTCTGCTCAGATACGATCCGTTGGAGAGGCTCACAGCTCGTGAAGCTCTCCGACATCCATTCTTTTCTCGTGATAATCTCAGAAGGTGAATGTACAAATCTGGGTGCATCTAGTTTAAAGAAGAGGGAACTTGTTATCCGTCAAGAAAGTGGTGAAGATATTTATAATTCTTGTGCCCAACTCTTAGATTGTAAATATTGCCAAATGATGGAACGCAAGTTTTGCTTGTGCTGGTCGAGTTTGTTTTCTAACCTATCTTGAGGCACAATATGTCTCAAAAGTGTATATACTTTTTTGGTCACAGAGCTGTAAAGAAGTATTATTGTATTGATTTTCTTTATATAACAACACTGGAGTTGGTATTTGAAATAAAAATTCCCTTTGTATCTGCATTTTGTATCGCCCCTTATTTAAATGTTCATTTCAAGGAACTCAAAGTTGATGTTTACTTCTAGGATTGCTTGGATTGTTTCTAAAATGCAAATGGTTTCTAATCAAAGCAGCTCTTTCAAATGAGTATTAACCCAACAACTGAAACATCAAAAATTTGTCAGTGAGCATAAAATCGACATTTATATGCAGATATTATTCTCCTATACCTGGCATTGTAATGTGGAAGGTCCCTTTTTGCAAACTTGCAATGTACATGCATCATGCAACTATGATTCTATGAACTTGGAAGGTCCCTTTTTGCAAACTTGCCGGCCGTAAGGCTCGTAACAATCAAGCTAGTTACGAATAAAGTTAGCAATGAATATATTCTGTAACAAAGTGCTTTGGTGTATAGGGCTTTGTTATGCTTTAGTAGTTTTCGAGCACGCGATCTTTCATTTGTGAGGAGCTTGAGATGAGCATAAATGTCAACCATGGTCCATGGGGAAGGTTGAAAGTTTTTGTTGTGTTTATTCCCTCACACCGTGTTAGTTTTGGTTGGTTTTATTCCAATCGCAACAACATAAACTCAAGCTCAAACTTGTCCAGATTAGAATTTTATAGGATTCGATTTGAAATCCTGTACGAGCTTTAAAAAACTTTGTATTCTTGAATTTATATGCTAATCAATAACCATTATTTATTTATTACTTAAACAACATTTTCGAGTACTCCGTAATATGATTTGGTCATGATTAATTCCTGCTTATTGTCCATCCCTATTTCATATTTACAAATTATTAATATTCCTGATCAAAGTGGAGAATTTGGGAGAGCAATGGTCCATGGAATAAAAAGTCTTCTTTAAAAAACTAATTTGATAAATTGCATTGTATTCTCTGGTAAAAAATGAAGTATAAAATATTAAATCAGCTCAGCTATACTTGAAGCGCAAAATTTCTCCCAAAAGTTATGTAAAAATAATAGCACAACTATTAAAATATAAGGTTCTACCGAGATTTGAACTCGGGTTACTGGATTCAGAGTCCAATGTCCTGACCACTAGACCATAGAACCAATTTGTGGTAAAAATTTTACAGTAGCAGTTCAAGAATAATTACTGTACTTCGTATTATGCTGCTCTCAAAATTAGTGGAGGGTTATTACAGTATTTAGGAAATTAATTAGTACGTGGCAAGTGGCGGGAAAAATATAAGTGGTTCTTAAGGTTGACCGGCTTAGGAATAGCTCTTATATGTCCTCCATTCCCGAAAAAAGGTTGCCTTTCATGATTTTATAAGGTTAATAAAGAAAATACGATAGTGAAAAACAATGATTAGATATCACATATATTAAGTATCAAATCGTAAATTAACTTTAAAAATAGGAATATTTGTATTTGAAGTAGGAAAGTAGTAAATAAAAATAGTTGCATTAGGAATATGTAAATTTTTTGATAAATGATAGTTACATGAAAATGTATGTATGAGGAAAATGAGTACAAAAAAAATTAGAAAATAATTGAAACACGATCATTAAAAAGGAATGCCAAAAAAGCAAATGTAACCCTATTACAGGAACAGAGGGATTAATATGGAGTAAGTAATAAATAATACAAAGTACAAAGTAAGTAAGAAGAGAAGAAGAATTACAAGATCATGCCTATTATTTTTTTTATAAAATGATAAATAATTTGTGGTAAAATTCATGAAATTTGAAACCCTCAAATAAAAAAAAAATATATTAATACAAAAAATAAATGTAATGGAGCCAACTTTTGAAAACAACAAAAAAAGAGTTTATGTAAGTGAACAAGCTGGGCTCATATTGTCTATTGAAAAGCTATCCAATTATGTTCATAAAGATTCAAATGGCTCTATTGTACTTGAAAGGATGTTTATTGGTTGGTACATTTGCCCCAATTTATCACATCTCAATTTGTTTGCACCCTATTATCAATTTATCAAATCTCAAAAAATAAGGGCGTCCGAGATTTATGAAAAAGGAAAGAATTTTACACAAATTTTATAAATAGAAAATGCTTTTTAGATTGAATATAAAGAAGAATTTTGTTGTACTACTTGAATGCCTTTTTTTTTTTTTTTTTTTTTTTTTTTTGGAAGCTACTTGAATACCTTTTGTTTGTGGTGAGTTGCTTGAATTTGGACAGCTTCTGATTAAAACGGGAGCATTAGTTTTATCAGTGGACTTACTTGCCCTATCTTGGTGGTCCTTGAACGTAATCACCAGGAATAAAATGGCCTATGGGATTTTGCACGATTAATCGACCTTATTCGGCATCAATAATAGGAACATACACAATATTATTAGTTCACAACAATTAAGATTTTGTCTTGAATTCTATATACTTTGTAGTAAAATTTATTTGAATCGTTTCAATGTTCATGTAAACACATTCAATTTAGCAAATTATGTATTTTGGACATCTAAGTTAGTTTGTTAGAATTTATGCTAAGGTGAAAAACTTGTTGGAATTGAATCTGCCTTATACAAGGCTTTGAATTTTTGACAAGGTTGGTTATCAAAACAATCACATAAATATGTAGTACGGAGTATGTATTTTGTATACTTCTTGCTTTGTTTTTTCAATTAACGGAGGGTACACAAAATTAAGGCAATCTTTCCGTAAAATTATATGTAAAAGTTTTTTTTTTCTTTACAAAAAATAATCAATGAAGAAGATCACAAACATCACCAACGAGGAGCTATACTTGGATAGTCAAGATAGTAAAATCAAGACAATGAATAACCCGTTTAAATCGATATTTAGCCAAAGCAATGAAACATAATTAAAAAAAGACTTGAGAGAGTCAATGTATTGATTGTATTCTATACAAAGACGTAATATCAAACTAAAATAGCATGTTTAAGATTTTGTTTGTTGATGGAAGAGAATCTAAGCATGAAACAAGCCATTCTACATTTCTACCATATTCATTCAACGACGCCCTATTTTCCTCAAAGTTTTCCACAGGCGATGCGCAATACAATACTCGTATGCAGCAATGATCAAGGGGTCCACAACCATCAACCCAATGCAATTTGAAAAGCTTATATTCGATTGGTGAACTAATCTAAGAAATTTCAATAACTGAATTTTAGTACATCTTTGACGCAACTTTGGGGCATCTTTGACAGTGGCTCCAAACTTAAAAATCTACTGCTCTAATTAACAATGTCAGTACAGTAATTTACCGACGAGAAAAACCCACATATATTGCACTTGTAATACAACCTTCCCATATTGCACCTTGTGTCAAATATTCTATGTAAGCAAAATTCTCGGGATATTAAATACAAGTCTTCAATTTTGTAGCAAGAAAAAATCTTCAATGGAATATTAATAAAAGAGGAGTGGTTGCTCCGCTAGGTTATGCATCATATGAAAAAAAAAAAAAAAAAAAAAAAAAAAAAGTGAATTGAACATGCCGTTAAAAAAGTTTAACTATGAGAAAAGTTTGGCTACCACTGATAAAAAAATAAAAGTATAAGTTTACCATTGAAAATTTGCTTTTAAATTATTATAATAAAAATAAAGTGAATAAAACATGCCGTTAAATATTTAACATGATAAACCCTTAGAATAAAAAAAAACCTAAAAAAGTAAAAAGTGAAAGAACCCATAGAAGTGGGGAATGGGGACATTGGAACATTCTTTCATTCCTTTTCGCGCGTTTGTCTTGAATTCCTCACCTCACACCTACACATTACACAACACCATTTATAACCGTCTTCCTCTGTTTTCATCTCCATTTTTCTGCCATTTTTCCCGCTTTTCAAGGTTTTCTCTCTTCTCCAACCTTCAACCATGAATTCTCCTGCTACTTCTTCTTCTTCCTCACGCTTCTTCTCTTCAATCCCTTCTCTCAAACCCCCTTCTTCATCCTCCATTACTCCTACTCGATTACCCTTTTCCAATTCTACCCTCAATTTCCCTCTCCTCAAGACCACCCCTAAATATTTCATAAACCCTAATTCTTCCTCTTCATCCTCCGTTTGTGCCGCCGCAATTACCTCGACTCCGGTGCCGGAAACCTCCGACCTCGCTGCATCGAAATTTGATAGGTTAATTGCAGAATTTCTCCCGTTGACTGACCCCGTTGACCGGGTGAAGCATTTGCTGACTTACGCGGCGAAGTTTCCGCCGTTAGATGAGGAGAATCGGACGGCGAAGAATCGTGTGATGGGGTGCACGACACAAGTCTGGGTTGACGCGAAGCTTGACGAAGAAGGGAGAATGAGATTCATGGCGGATAGTGATTCTGAGCTGAGTAGAGGGTTTTGTGGGTGTTTAATCTGGGTTTTGGATGGCGCTTTTCCTGAGGAAGTGTTGGATTTTAAGATTGAAGATTTAGGGTTGTTGAATTTTGGGGGAATTTCTGGGGGAGTTAATTCTAGGGTTAATACTTGGTATAATGTTTTGATTAGTATGCAGAAGAAGACTAAATTTCTGGTTGCTGAAAAAGATGGGAAGGTTTTTGGTGAACCTTTTCCTTCTATGGTTATTTCAGCTGATGGAATTACTGCTAAAGGTGGCTTTGCTGAAACGCAGGTAATCTTTTTAATTACGCTTTTGTTTTAAATGATGTAGACGAGATTTAATCTGTAGGGCATAGTCTTTTAGGTGTAATTCCCAAATGCTTTTACCAACTATAGTAGTTGTCATCCAGGTGCTTATATCTTAGTGATGTAGATAGGATTTGATCTGTAGGACGTAGTCTTTTTGGTGTAATTCCCAAATGCTTTTACCAACTAAATTAGTTGTCATCCCCGGGATTTGATATGTAGGACGTAGTCTTTTCAGTGTAATTCCCAAATGCTTTTACCAACTAAATTAGTTGTCATCCACGTGCTTATATTTTAGTGTTGTAGTAGAGATAATTCTAGTGTGCAATCAAGATTTGATTTTTTTGTCATGTGTGGTGTACTTGAATAGATTAGTTGGTGGAATGCTGTTGATTTTGTGGCTGTAGTGTTTTGAATTATGAAGACAACAGTTTTCAGGTTTTTAGAATTATCAGTATAAATTGTTTATTAGGCTGATCTGCTGTTGTTCAAAGTCGGTTCATTATCAGTTTGTTGATCCTATGTATTGGTTTTTATTGAAACATGATGACTAGGTTATGTTTGTATGATGAAAAGAAGGCACAGGCGCTCGCACACTTTTGTATGTGTACTTGTGTAGGAATAATTTTCATCAGATTACTGCAGGTTTTATGCATGTATGAATTTGTGGAGTAGATTGAGAGACATAGTCGAATTAGGCAAACTAGATAGACTGGAAAGTTTGCTTGAAGGATGGGTTAACCTTTCGTTTGATTATATAAATGCATTTAACAATTCAGTGATTTGGATTTGGTTTCAAGCTGATTTGGAGAAAATTGGTAATAGTCAGAATATTGTGATGTTATACTGCTGTATTTAATTTGGTTTCCATTTGGAGGTTCAAGTTATGATTTATGACTGCTTGTTAGGGTATCAGTTGATGAATGACGAAATTCCAAAAATGCATGAAAGACTCCTCCTTATTGCTTCTTGAATATTTGTATAACTCATTACTCTTTAGTTTGATCTGCTGCTGTCAAAAATCCATTGTACCTATCCTCTATAGAAAATTTCCAGCATAATAATGATACTGTTGATTTGATTTCAGGCAAGATATTTGTTCCCTGATGAATCACAAGTCAATGATCTTGTCAAACATCTCAAAGAAAAGAACATTGGCATTGTTGCACATTTCTATATGGATCCTGAGGTCCAAGGTGTCCTAACTGCAGCCCAAAAGCAGTGGCCACACATCCATATATCAGACTCATTGGTTATGGCTGATAGAGCTGTCAATATGGCTAAAGCTGGATGCCAATTTATTGCTGTTCTTGGTGTAGATTTCATGTCGGAAAATGTCCGTGCAATCCTTGATCAGGCTGGCTATGACAAGGTAAATCTGACAAGTGTTGTTTTGTCAAATAGTCCTTTATTCTATTTACCATGAGAGACTGTTTTATGTTAAAGCTAAGTATTAATGTGTTGAAAAATTAGAGGGTAATGGCATTGTAGAAAATTGACAATAACCTTAGTCTGCCAAAAAAACATTGTTAATGACCTTGTTATTTGTGCTGTGGTTTTCAAAATTCAATCAGCCCCTATCTTCTTGTAGCTGCATCCTTCGATTTCAACTCCACACAAATGCATTTATATATGTTTCACATTAAAGTAATGTATTCTTACTGTACAAAACCTTAATTTTATGATTGTTTTACACAAGAATTTACTGTCAATATGCTTCCAACAACATAACTCAATGGTGAATGCTTTGTACAGGTTGGTGTTTACAGGATGTCTGATGAACGAATTGGTTGCTCATTGGCTGATGCTGCAGCTACAACAGAATACATGAAATATCTTGAGATTGCCTCTTTGTCACCACCTTCACTGCATGTGATCTATATTAATACTTCATTGGAGACAAAAGCTCATGCTCATGAGCTTGTGCCAACAATAACATGTACATCTTCCAATGTGGTGCAAACAATTTTGCAGGTTGGCCTAAATGCTAAGTAATTATTACTACTGCTGCAGTGCTGCTTGTTTCTCTTTAGTTTTTGATATGTTTTTGCTGGTTCTCTATTCTATACTTTCGAGGTAGCTTTATTGGACTCCCCCTTTCATGTATGAAAAGTTTGTTGTTGCCTTTTCTCCCTTAATTTATGTGGATTCTAATTGCAGTTCTGGGTTTCTTATTCCACATCTCCTTTCTCTTTCTTAGGCATTTGCACAGATTCCTGACCTGACGGTGTATTATGGACCGGATTCCTACATGGGTGCCAATATCGCAGAGTTGTTTCAGCAGATGGCCTTGATGTCAGATGAAGAAATTTCAGCAGTACATCCACAACATAACAGAAACTCAATCAGATCTTTGCTTCCACGCTTACAATACTTCCAGGTGCTTGTTATACTTTGAGGGCCTTTTATAAGACATAATACTGATGATTTAATTTCTGAATCTTCTTAGGTGTAAGCTGTTATGTATGATACATTGAACAATTTCATGTTGCTGCTCCATTGAAAAAAACCAATTTTAACCCCCTATACGATCAATCCAATGATAGATATGTCCCTCTATCAAGTTTAGACAGAGATCTAATGAATCCGAGTGATAAAAAAATATTATATTACAAATGCACAACTAGCATATCTGCATCTGCATATTACAAGATATTCTTTCATCCACAAGTCTTATTGTGCTTTTATAAATGTAGTACAAGTGGCTGCTTTTTATTAATCTGTGACAATATTTCTGCACCAGGATGGTACATGCATTGTACATGACCTTTTTGGACATGATGTTGTAGAGAAGATAAATGACATGTACTGTGATGCATTCCTTACTGCCCATTTTGAGGTCCCTGGAGAAATGTTCTCTTTGGCTATGGAAGCAAAAAGACGAGGAATGGGGGTAGTTGGCTCCACCCAGAACATATTAGATTTCATAAAACAGAGACTACAAGAGGCTCTGGATAGAAATATTGATGACCATCTTCAATTTGTTCTGGGGACAGAATCAGGAATGATTACTTCCATTGCTGCTACAGTGCGTGCAATGTTGATGTCCACAAAACCTTCTCCGAAGAGAGCTGATATTAGTGTTGAGATAGTTTTTCCTGTATCATCGGATTCAGTATCAAACACAAAAAATACTTCATGTGGCAGCTCTAATTTAACAGGAGTTGAAGATCCAGTAAATCTTACTGTTGTACCTGGAGTTACAAATGGTGAAGGGTGCTCCATCCATGGGGGATGTGCATCCTGTCCATACATGAAGGTGCTTATCAATCGTTTCACTGATGTTTTTGTTTGCAATTTTACCCTAAATTTTCTTTGAACTGTTATTTTCAGCGTAAGCTGGTGTATCTTTGATACTCGTAATTATGGGGGGTCAACTGTGTAGATAAAATTTGTGATTATTTTGGCTGAGACCTTTCTGTGATTCTTTTCGTCTGGGGTAGTTTACTGTAGATATGTCATCAGAAATTAGCTTACAGGATTAACATTTTCAAACCTGATCTGGTCGTTCCCTTGCTTTGCCAGATGAATTCTCTAAGCGCCCTTCTTAAAGTTTGCCAAAACCTGCCAAATGATAGGCATGTTCTCTTTGCTTATGAAGCTGGAAGATTTAGTTCTCAGACAGTGAATGGAAGATCAATAGCTGATGTTGGATGTGAACCAATTCTTCACATGAGGCACTTTCAGGTTTTTAACTCTGTAGAATTTCATATCTGAAAATGTTTTGGTATACTGTTTATTTTATTGATTTTGATGCATCTACAGGCACACCGAGAACTGCCAGCGAAGCTAATTCATCAGGTTTGCCGATCATCTGTAAATGGGAAGCCAGCATTATAAGATGTAACGAACTTTGTCATATGCGGTGGCTGTCAGATTGGTGCGGCTGCTCAATGGATGGCTTCATATGCAATTTTGTCAGATGATGATTTATATCCAACTTACCTGCTGCAAAAGAGGAACTTATGACTGTTGCTTGGTTCTGTAACCCTTCCCCTCTTCCTTTTGGGTTGGTACTTGTGTAGTTGTGTTGATTATTGTTACCTTCATACCTTAAAATAGTCCAGTCTTAGAATTCTAGGAACAGAATGAGAGATATACCGGGCAATGTGTTGTACATATGATTACACTCATGTCTGAATTATCAAATACACAATTCTGGGCATTTTCCCCAATAATTAAATGATTCCTCAAGGTTCTAATGCAAAGGAAAGTTATCAGACCCAATAGTATATTTAAACAGGAAAATTTTCTCTTTGGATACCTTATATTTTGGTTGATCTACTATGGTGCCGAGGTCAATAAAGCTGTTCCAATTTGGAATCATTCATATCTAATTTTATCTAAATTGCCCAAAGTATCATTTTTGCTTAATATTTTTCCTTTTTTTTTTTTTCTCTTTTTTCATAAATACCTTGGCAATCTGTTCCTAGGTGATAATGAGAAATATTTTGTGGACATAAAACTTTGAAACATTTTTTTTACCACTTTATGGGTGATGTTCAATAATACATGAATTATGTACATTAATTAGGATGATATTTACAAAATTACACTTAAATCTACTCAAGTCCACCGTCATTGATTATCATCTACCAACGAGTTGTGAGGGTGCTAAGTGTCATAAAGTAACATGATTTTTTTGGGACTTTTCAAACTTTAAAATTGGACAGTTTTGTGTTCGCATAATATAAATATTATGAATCACGATTAAATCAAATTATAGGACAACTCATACACTCGTTATAATTAATTATTTCATCACACTGTGCATACAGTTGCAACAAATAATAGAGCTGAGTAGTAGTGTTTCTTATATCCCTATCCCTATAAAAACTGATGAGGGACAAGCTAAAAACTACACACACAAACTATTACCTTAATCATCCGTGGAAAAGATGAAATGGGGTTATCTGCTACTTATTAGCATGATTGTCATGGCAGGCAGTAGCACAACTGCCAGCCGTGAAATCAATGATGGTTTGTCCAATCGCGACAACCATCATCAGCAGCCCTTGCTCTCACTTATTTCAAACATCATGCTAGAGGGAGCTGGAGCTGCTGTCGACAATACTCTGAGTTGCACACTGGCTGGTGCAGCCTGTTCCAGTAATAGCGAGTGCTTCCCACACAACGCATGCCGGTTTCTCTATAACAAGTGCGAATGGTGTCCAGGAGCTGGTGATTCTTGCGGTCTAACTTGGCAATGTTGTCCAGGACTGTCATGCAGTAGCAGAATCTCTGGTACTTGCTCCTAAGAAAAATGCAAGACTATGTATGTGTGTTTATTGTGTACTAAATTACTACTCGTACTATATTGGAGTAGTAAAATAAACTCCTAGCTAAGCCCATATTGGCTTGTCTTCTCTGGTGGAATATACTATACATGTATATTATTTCGGGGTTTTCTGTGTCTCTCGGGAGAGTTACATCACTAAGTCTGGATTTCGGGCGCCTATACCTGCAAAAACAACGGAGACTCCGGTTGGGTGGAGTTTCCGCCTCCGACGATCAAGTTAGAACGTGTACGGAGAATGTAAAAAGGTGCGGAAAGTAAGTGAGATATTCTCGGATTCCGAGATCAGGTGTTTTTCTGATGTGAGAGAATTGATTATGGTGCAATCATTGAATGTATCTGTTCCCAAAATGGGATAAATATCCCTATTTATAAGGTCATTGGGATTTGTGCCTCTGTCCTAGGTTACGGAAACCTAGGACTAATGGGCTGCGCCGTTTTTGAGCAGTCTAGGGAATTGGGCCTTGAAGGCCGCCAATTCCATATGAGGTATCTGCCTACCACGTGTCTAGCTCTGGTAGGTCCACTTTGGGCCCTCCCTAAGGTGACACGTGTCACGCTCTAGTTGGCCCACGTGGCGGAAAAAAAATACCCAAATCATTTGCCTCTCACAGGGGTGATGTGGCGCGCCACGTGACACCTGTGACAAGTGTAATACATGCATGGGTGGACAGTATTTTTACTGTTTACCTTCTGGAGTAAATGTCAGGGTTGCCCATGAGACTTTTACCCTTCTATACATATGCTTTCATCCCTTCATTTTCGCATTTTCACGAGAAATTTTCCGACAGAGAATCTTTAACTTTTGAGGGAATTTGTTTATTGCCGCTTGAGTTCGATCCGCCTGCATTACAGACGCCCCAAGAGGTTCCTTCAGTACCTTCAATACAAGGAAACCGCCTGCTCCATCTCTTTTCCGTTCTTTAAATTTCCGTCTGTGTTTGTTATTCCTTGTTTTTCGAAATGTTTTCACAAACACACATGGCACGGCCTAGGGTAGCTATCAGCCGGTCACTAGGGACGGCTGAATCTAGGACTAGGAGTGCCGCCTGCCCCCACTTGGACTCCCCTCTGCAAACATCCCCGAATCTGACCGTCTCTGTGTCTGTGCAGGACACTATGGTCAGAACTAAAAGGACGGCCCAGGGCCCCATAAATGATGAGGAAGATGGCGGCGCTATTAGGGTGCCATGGGATGAGGTTTTTTATCACCCACCCGGCACTCCAAGCACGCCGGATGACTCCATCCTGAATGAGTCAGATGATGAGGCTGATGATAGTGCATCCGGCTCTAAAACAAGGGTCATCCCAGTCGGATGCTGCTTCAGGCGGTTCCGAAGATAAACTGAGCCGCCTGTATCCCATGAAGAGCCAGAAAGCTCCGAGTCTGCCTTTGACTTTGAGGAGGAGGCTGCCTCCCCTAAAAGAGGACAAGGGGAAGATTCGTCCTCTGCTCGCAAAGAATTTACTCCCTATTTCACCCATGTCTCTGCTGGGACTCAGAGAAATATGCTAAAAAAGCTTGAGGAATTTCGGGACACCTATGTCATGGGGGCCGGATATGAGATTCATGTCCCTAATGTGGACGATACAGTCGTCTGGCCATTAAATCAAAGTTATGGGGATTAATGCTTCGGCTTACGAAGCTGCGATACAGGTGGGCTTGAGATTTCCCCTTGATAAAGACGTTGAGAAAATCCTGAACGGATACCGCTTGAGTGTTTGGCAGCTCGCCCCTAACTCGTGGGTGAATGTTCTTGGGTATGTCGCCGCCTGTAAGATGCAGGGGGTGAAACCGGGCTTTGAAGCCTTTGCTTCGATGCATTATTTGAGCAAGGCTCCTAAGGCAGCCGACCCTGGGTGGTACACCCTAACTTGTCACAAGAGGTTCATGATAACCCTGGGCAAGGAATCAAAATGGAAGGACTAGCAGAGCCGTTTTTACATCATCTCTTCGCCAAATACCAGGCGGAACCGGAAGTACAACACTTGGAACATGAACCCATACCTTCTAGGCCAGAAGGTGATCCTCCCACCTGTTCCTGATGAAGGTTGGGATCAAATTTTGACGCCTGGCTTGTTCAAGGTTTCCTCCAAAACCTTAGAGGGAGGGAACGAAAGGGAGACAATTCCCCATAGTTACATCCCTAGGTTTGAGTGGCTAAGGGACCCTTTTTACTTAGCCGCCTGTGGTCTTAGCATAGAAAAAACGAAAGGTAGCTGGTCAGATAAAACCATCTAGCAATATATATATATATATATATATATATATACACACACACACACACACACACACACACATATACCTATATATATAATTAATTCTTTTTGTTAATTCTTACTGACGCTCATCCGGTTTTTTTTTTTTTTTTTTTTTTTTTTTTTTTTTTTTTTTTTCTTTTCAGAAGAAGCAATGTTGCAGCTATCTCCGAGTAAGAAATCCGCGAGCTCTACTGCCGCATATCGCCAAATGATCCGGCAGAAAAACCAGATATTAAAAAAAGATCAACTGCAACACGTAAGTATTCCACAATTGTCGTAGTCAGGCGGACCTTATTGTCTTGAACTTGATGGCTTAACTTAATTTTCAGGAAGGATCAATGAGGCCGCTTGCTTTTGGCGACAAGCCACCGAAGCGTTCGTTTGCTAAAGAGGACCGGATGCCCTCTAAATCGAGGAAGTCTATGGCACAGAAAAATCCATCTGCTGCCAAGTCTGGGGATGGTTCTCATCCCTTTACTGCCGGCAAGTGGCCTGTTTCTCTCGAGGCCCTCAAAAAACCGGACGTCCCCCGGAAGTCAAAGTGTGGCAAACCACTCACCGCTGCTGTCGGCTCAGTAGCAACAGGCGGCATGTCATAGGCAGACGCAAAAACAGGCATTTTAAAGACTTGGAGGTTGGGCTCCCTGGTATTAGTGCCTTCAATCCGTTACCTTACCCTAATAAGGTAAAGTCTTATCAGCAGATGCCCAATAGCTCTAAAGACACCCGATCTATAGGTTGGGCTTATGTCAACTTCTCACCAAGTGTTGAATGTGCAGATGCTACCCCAAGGCCGGATATACAGCAGTTCGCTAAGAACATGCTGAAGGCCATCTCTGCCGAGGAGCGGGATTCTGTTAGGGGGGTTGGCACCCACACTTTGATGCCACTTTGGCGCTGCTAGCTGAGGTAACCCGTTTTTAAGTTAGAAAATATTTCTAACCTCTCTCATACCGTCTGTATTGACGATCTTCTTTGCCGGATATAGGCCATGCTTAGAGTGAATGGGCTCAAGAAGCCGTTCTCAGACAAATAAAAAGTGGTAAAGAGAAAGGGCCGCCTCTGCTCTAGATCAAGCCATGTTTGACATATACAAAAATGAAGCACTGACTCATGATATCCTTCATTCTCAGGCGGAGGCCAACCTGCAGGTCAAGTAGCAGCTAAAGGCGGCCCAAAAGAGGGTATCTGAGCTTGAGGGCCAGTTGAAATCAGCCAAGGATGAGCTTGAGAAGCATGAGGATGTCAGCAAGGAAACAAACAACCTACGCCGCCGAAACGAGAATCTGAAAAGAAAACTCACCAACCAGGAAGAGCAGCTGAGGAAGAAGTACCAAGCTAGGGCCGAGGAGGAAAAGAGGCAGCTAGTCGAGGAGAATGAGGTTGACTGTGCTATCCGGATGAGAATGGCTTGGAAGGTTTTGCATTCTGATGACGACTACTCCGTTTGGGAGTATCGTTTTGAGGAAGCCATCGAAAAGCTTGACGAGGAGCGGCTGCAGGCGGAGAAAAAAGGCGAGGCTGATGATGATGAAGACATGGCTGAGAATGAGGACTTCGAGCATGATGGGGGTCATCCGACTGATGCTGGTGAAAAGCCGAATGAGAATGTAGAAGAGTTCTCCCCTCAAGATGATCAAGTCTAAATCTTTCTTTGGCCGAATGGCCTGACAATTACTTTTCCAACCTGCGTGCCGAGTATATATGTATCTTTACCGACTGAGGAATCGGGTTTGATTAACAATTTCTTTTTCTCACCGATTGTAAAATCGGTTAACACTTTCTTTTGGCCGACCATGGGGTCGATTTTATATGAAACAGCCGACCATTGGGTTAGTCTTCCTGCATAAAAGAAAAAAATTGCCCTTACATTTTCATTATGCATAAACTTTGCTAAGTGCGCAGCCTTTTTATTTTATACATGCGATTTACCGGATGTATTTTCCCC